GGTTCAGCAATTAGTTGCGGGTTACAGTAATTGAGCCAATACCAGAACGAAACCAATTTAGATGCAATGATGCCAAGACCTGGACCTGGACCTGGAGGAGGAGGAGGAGGAGGAGGAGGAGGGGATAATCAGCCACAGAATATGATAATTTCCCCTGCAGCTTGGAGCTGGCTAAATTAGGAGGCCGGACCCATCATGACGTTGTCGAGTCGAGTCTCCACGATCTCAGTAACGTCAAACCCACGGGTTAAGGTACCTTTTCCTGGTGACAGACCTTGTCAGCCAGATCACCATGGAACAAGCCCCAGTGGATAATGATGACTCTCAGGTGACGTAGTATCGGCCGATGGCTGCCGCACCCGACTCGGCGTCTTCCTCCACGGTCGTTGAGTATGTGTGCTGAAGCTTGTGAAATGAAAGAGGGTTTGCAGTGAATTTATTCACTCTGGTTCTGTAGTAGGAAAAGAGTGCAGAGATGCAATTCCTTCAAATTCAGCTACTGCACAGTACAAACAAAGCAGGTAGCAAACAACCCGAGGCTTCCCCGCACAGGAAGAGTATAACTTACAGTCCCTCCAGGCTGCGTTAAAGAGAGAAAAAGCGACTAAGCAATTTTAGTCCCCGAGCCCAGCCCAGCCCACGACGACGACGACGACGACGACGTCATACCCTGTGATCCCCAACCCGCTTGCGCCAGCAACCACGGACTTGAAGGGAACAAACAGCCAAGATTCCACGTAGCACACGACGACTATATAATACTACTTCTCATCGCACTGGGAACCTGAATAGCTCACATTTTCTTCACTCACAAACTTCGTCATCCAGGAACACACCAACCAAACCAACCAACCAACTTTCTGAACCACCCCGCTTCCCTACCACCTACCACCTACACCAATCTATCACAATGGCTCAGAGTCGCACTGGAGTTTACGCCGCTGTTGCCGCCCTCGGCCTGGGTGGTTACTACCTCTACCGCGCCGGTGGAGACCCCAAGGGTGCCACGCAGGAGGTTAAACGTAAGTTGTTTGCCCTGTCTGCGCTGTCTCGGTGATACACGGTCACGGATCTTAACATCAATGTTTACAGACGACGCCCACCTTGCCCGCTTGAACGCCCCCACGGGTAACCAGGCCGAGAAGGCCGGAGAGAAGGCCGCGTATGAGGCTCGTTTGAACGTTGACCAGGCGGTACGTTTGTCTACACTTTTCTTACCTTCCCCCCTTTCCCTTTTTCCCGTCAACCTCCTCACATGCGCCCATGAGAAAACCTGCAACACTCGCGCTGACATTTTTCTTTTCGGAACAGGTTGACTCCGCCCGCGCCGAGGCCAAGAACCAGGCTAGCCGCCTGGACCAGATCCGCCAGGATACCACCGCCGAGCTGAAGTCGGGCGCCGAGAAGATCGAGCACAAGGTCGAGGAGAAGGCCTCCGAGGCCAAGGGTGCCTTGTCGGGATGGTTCGGCAAGAAATAGACTGCTTTTTTTTTTCTCAATTGCCCACTACTAGCAGACAGACAGACACGCTTTGAGCACATCATCGCATGCGTGAGTTGAGTATTGGTGTCTGCTGCTTGCTGGGGTTTATTCTCTGTCTCTTTTTCTTCCTCATTCACGGCGGGAGTTGCGTTTGAATTTTTGTTTTTGACAAAACCTTACTTCTTCTTTTTTTGCTCTGAAGGAAGAAAAGTGAGTGGATTGCATATGTATGGCTGGGCCTTGCGTGTGTTTCTTCTTTTTTTTGTTACTGTTGTTTTCTTTGTCGACGACGACGAGGGCAACGACTACGACGACGATGGATGATGTTATTACCGTGATGATGGGTTCGAGTCGGTTTATGAATGATACTATACTCGAGTCGGTCCAATAATATCAATTTTTCAATTATTCGTCCTCCATTGTTGTGTCGGATTGCATGCTTGAAAAGCTCGACAGGGTCTTGTGTAGTATTCGCTTGGGGCCGCAACTGGAGCCAGCGCCGCAAAAGAGCACTGAGAGCACTGACTGGTCCTGCGACGGGATACTATCACTTAAGTTATCAGGGAAAGGCCTAGACTGCATCAGGGTAAATCGCATTCTTGAGTGGATCAGTCAAAAAGAAAGGGCTTCAATGTGGAGTATACTAAGTAGATGAGGGCCACTCTGCCCGTGGTATGCTACATTCCCAATGCACGATTACTGTAGTGACGGGTTGCCGTGCATTGTGAATGGTGGAGTGGGAAATCTATATTGGAATTGAAGCGGATTAATATATAACGTCCAGAGCGCCTTTCTTTACTCGGCAAAACGACTTGTGTTGCCGATATAATTGAGCTTTCATTTCATTTACCCCTGCTGATCATGGCGGCGGCGGGATCCTAATATTACCGCATTCGGCCGCGACGCCTCGAGAAACACGCGACCCGCGTCGACGCGCTCCACCCGGGAAAAAGCATCCAAGCGCCCTCACAAAAGGGACTAAAATATACGCCGGCAATTTTCCTTCGCCCGTCAAACCAACTTCCCCAGATATCCGATATTCCCCTCCATAAACCCACTTTCTACCAACTACCCTTTAGCATATTACTGTTGTGCATTCCTACCTGTCTAATATTTCCATGTTTGCACAATAACACCTTCCTATCTTCCTTATCTCTTACCCTCCTCCCCTCCCACTCTGCAAAGGAAATCGCGATGCCTCGCACCTCCGCAAGGCTGGCCGCCCTCCCCCGGGGTCAGGTCGGCATTCAGACCTTTGCAAGAGCGACCAAGCCTGGCGCCACCACCCCTCAATCGCTCGTGGACACCAAGAAGCAACTTCAGCAGCAGCAGCAGCAGCAGCAGCAGCCCCTGCCGTCCACGACGAAAAGCACGATCTCTCCCACCACCACCGCCCACCTTTCAATCTCACCGTCCAAGAAGCGGAAACTGCACGAATTACACAACGTCACCTGCGGCGGCGGACAACCGACGACACAAGAGGCAGGCAAGCCCGGTCTTCCTGCTGATGCCAAAGACGTCCCAGAGGCAGCTACCCCCTCCCGGACCCTCCGACTCGGCGAGCTTGCCCTAAACACCCCTCGAAGCGGCCACTACGCGCGTCCCGCTGCCCGCGAAGAAGACGGAGACGACATTCCGACCTCGCCATCCAAGCGGGCCGCCACGCACAACAGAACGACCTCGGTATTGTTGCCGCGGAAGGCGAGTGTCGTCACTGTAGACACGCGGGTCGTAGAGCGTCCCGCCTGCGTTGATGATCTGGTGGCCCTGTACTCGGCCTTCCAGAAGGCGGTCTCCATCCACATGATGCACAACGGCGTCAATCGCCCGGCGGACTTGCGGGAACTGCTGCCCAGTATTCAGCGGATCTGGAAGAAGCGGAAGGTGGTGGTCAAGGACCTGCAGCGGTTGCTCTGGGTGATGGAGCAGGATGATCAGTCGACATCATCGTGGTCGTTGTCGTCGTTCTCGTTCAGGATCGCGAATTATGGGTTGGGCCGGGTGTGCTTGGAAAAACTGGCTGCCGCTGATGGCACGAACGCACCACTCTCTGCAGCACCGGTGCGGAGTGATGATAGCGGTGAATTGCAGGAACGGTTCGAGCAGACGGTCGATCTGCTCTGGGAAAAGGCGCTGGATGCAGCGGACGGGGATGCGGAGAAGGTGGACTTTGTGGGTACGCTGGGCGTATCGGCCATTCATGAGTCGTTGGTCCCCTTCACGACATTCCGGAAAGGTCAGCAGCGATTGCAGGATTTGAAGGGCGGGGTGATCAAGGTGAAGACTGAGAAGCTGCGGGCGGATGGGCAGGAGGATTTTGTGCCAGCCAAGTCGCTGGATGCGGCAAGTACGCGCAAGAAGGGCCTGCTGGAACGGATCAAGGACAAGCAGCTGCGACAGGCGAAGTTGCCGCCCCCGCCCACAAAGGATATGCTCCTCCAGCGCGCTGCGGCGGAGCGGGTCGAGGAGGTTGCTGGGGTCTTGGCTCTGCTGAGACCCAAGGGGTATACGGGCAATGGTGCTAAGGCGGTGATGACGGCGCAGCGAACGCCGTTTCGAATGGAGACGATTGTCCAGAACGTCAAGGATTCCTTGCGCAACCCGGTGGCGGACCGAGAGGTCGAGATCTGTCTCGAGATTCTCGCTCGGGAGGATGTTGCGGGACAATGGGTCAACATCGTGATGGTGAATCAGCTCAAATCAGTGGTGCTGAAATCCTGTGCGGATGTGCAGCCCAAGGAGATTGCGGCCAGAGTTGCACCGCTGAAGATCGGGTGGGAGCAGGCTGGCGAGGCTCCCCGGAAGTGAAATAGTTGTTGTTGAATTACCCCTCACTCGTTTTGGATGTCGTGATACCTCATCCGGAATGCCTGGTATGCAGTTCCGGCGTTGTGATTGCATTGTTTGAGCACCGCATGTGTTATGTCCTGTATATTAAGCGGCATTTGTTATGTACTGCACCACTAGCATAGCCTCATTCTATCGACTAATAGATCTACCAATACTTGATTCCTTCCTCCACACCATCTGCTTCAAAACCTAGGCAATACTACTCATCGAAACCAATTTTGACGTATGTCTGTAGACACAATAATTCATAGATTGGTAACTGACAGCTATGCAGCGGAGCTCTCTGATTGGATGAAAACCACTTCCGGCCTCCGCGCCGCAACGCGTATGCACGTGATCGCGCTGCCACAGACCGCGTCTCAGCGTTGATGTATCATTGAATTGACCGATTGCTCCCTCATCCGCAATTGACCAGACCTTCGCCAACAACAACAGGCAAGTTGGCCCAGAACTGAAGTCCTTTTTGTCCTCGTTGAGCTTCCTGGCAATATGTCTGCACGGCCGGATCTCAGAGTAAGTGCTCTTTCGCCAATTGATCCATTTTCTCTTCTCATCCCACCCTTGAACACTATCTTACACGGCGAAACACTACGCTTCAAGTGCTAAATCACTTCTTATTGAAACAGGTAGACGACGAAGTCGGCTTCATCCGCTTCTACCGCTCCATCTCAGACAATACCAACACCAACGACAGCAACAACAACAATGACACCATCCGCATCTTCGACCGCGGCGACTGGTACTCGGCGCACGGGACGGAAGCCGAGTTCATCGCGCGGACGGTCTACAAGACGACCTCGGTGCTCCGCAACCTGGGCCGCAGCGAGACGGGTGGCCTCCCCTCGGTGACGATGAGCGTGACGGTGTTCCGCAACTTCCTGCGCGAGGCGCTCTTCCGGCTGAACAAGCGGGTGGAGATCTGGGCCGCGACGGGCCGCGGCCCGGGCTCGTGGAAGCTCGCCAAGCAGGCCAGCCCCGGCAACCTGCAGGACGTGGAGGAGGAGCTGGGCAGCGTCGGCGCGTTGAGCCTGGACGCGGCCGCGCCTATCATCCTGGCCGTCAAGATCTCGGCCAAGGCCGGCGAGGCGCGCCACGTCGGCGTGTGTTTCGCGGACGCCAGCGTGCGCGAGCTGGGCGTCAGCGAGTTCTTGGACAACGACGTCTACTCGAACTTTGAGTCGTTGGTGATCCAGCTGGGTGTCAAGGAGTGTCTGGTGCAGATGGACGCCGGGCGTAAGGATGTCGAGCTGGCCAAGATCCGTGCGATCGCGGACAGCTGTGGCATCGCGGTGTCGGAGCGCCCCGCCGGGGATTTTGGGGTCAAGGATATTGATCAGGATTTGACGAGGTTGTTGCGGGATGAGCGGTCCGCGGGGACGCTGCCGCAGACGGAGTTGAAACTGGCGATGGGCGCCGCCGCCGCGTTGATTAAGTACCTCGGCGTGATGACGGATGCCTCGAATTTCGGGCAGTATCAGCTGTATCAGCATGATCTGTCGCAGTTCATGAAGCTCGATGCGTCGGCCTTGCGCGCGTTGAATCTCATGCCCGGTCCGCGGGACGGATCGAAGTCCATGAGTTTGTTCGGCCTCTTGAATCACTGCAAGACCCCCGTCGGCAGCCGGCTGCTGGCGCAGTGGCTGAAGCAGCCGCTCATGGATCGCGCGGAGATCGAGAAGCGGCAGCAGCTGGTGGAGGCCTTCGTGGTGGATACGGAGCTCCGCCAGACGATGCAGGAGGAGCACTTGCGGTCGATCCCGGACTTGTATCGGCTCGCGAAGCGATTTCAGCGCAAGCAGGCGACCTTGGAGGATGTGGTCCGCGTGTACCAGGTTGCGATTCGTCTGCCGGGGATTGTTGCTTCGTTGGAGAACGTGATGGATGAGCAGTACCAGACCCCACTCGAGAAAGAATACACCCTCAAGCTGCGCGGTTTCTCGGATAGTCTGGCCAAGCTGGAGGAGATGGTCGAGACCACCGTGGACTTGGACGCGCTGGAGAATCACGAGTTCATCATCAAGCCAGAGTTCGATGAGAGCCTGCGCATCATCCGCAAGAAGCTGGATAAGCTGCGACATGATATGAACGTAGAGCACCGTCGTGTCGGACGGGATCTGGACCAGGAGGTGGAGAAGAAGCTGTTTATGGAGAACCACCGTGTGCATGGCTGGTGCTTCCGACTCACCCGTAACGAGGCTGGTTGCATCCGGAACAAGAGAGAGTACCAGGAGTGCTCGACGCAGAAGAACGGCGTGTACTTCACCACGTCGACGATGCAGGCGCTGCGCCGCGAGCATGACCAGCTTTCGTCCAACTACAACCGCACCCAGACTGGACTGGTCAGTGAGGTGGTCAACGTCGCTGCTTCTTACTGCCCTGTGCTGGAGCAGCTTGCCGGCGTGCTCGCCCACCTGGATGTTGTGGTGAGCTTTGCGCATGCCGCCGTCCATGCTCCGACCCCATATGTTCGGCCCAAGATGCACCCGCGCGGCACGGGAAACACCATCCTGAAGGAGGCCCGCCATCCTTGCATGGAGATGCAGGATGACATCTCGTTCATCACCAACGATGTCTCCCTGATCCGGGACGAGTCGTCCTTCCTCATCATCACCGGTCCCAACATGGGCGGTAAATCGACCTACATCCGGCAGATCGGTGTCATCGCGCTGATGGCCCAGACGGGATGCTTCGTGCCGTGCAGCGAGGCCGAGCTGACCATCTTCGACTGCATCCTTGCTCGTGTCGGTGCCAGCGACTCGCAACTGAAGGGCGTCTCGACGTTCATGGCCGAGATGCTGGAAACCTCCAACATCCTCAAGTCCGCGACCTCGGAGTCCCTGATCATCATCGACGAGCTCGGCCGTGGAACGAGCACTTACGACGGGTTCGGTCTCGCGTGGGCGATTTCCGAGCACATTGTCACCGAGATCCGTTGCTTCGGGCTTTTCGCCACCCACTTCCACGAGCTGACAGCCCTGGCCGACCGGTACCCCAAGTCCGCGAAGAACCTGCACGTCGTGGCCTTCATCGGCGACGGGACCGACGAGCACCTCCAAGGCGACGACGCGAAAGACGCTAAGCGCAACCAGGTCACCCTGCTATACCGGGTGGAGCCCGGCATCTGCGACCAGTCCTTCGGTATCCACGTGGCCGAACTGGTGCGCTTCCCCGAGAAGGTGGTCAACATGGCGCGGCAGAAGGCGGACGAGCTGGAGGACTTCACCTCTGCTGGGGCTCAAGGCAGCGGCGGCAACGGCAGCAGCGAGGAGTCGGCCCCGGCCTCCATCGACAAGTATTCCCAGGAGGAAGTCGAAGAGGGCAGCGCTCTCCTGAAGGAGATGCTGCTCAAATGGAAGGCGGCCGTCGAGTCACCCGGGCAGACCCTTACGGTGGAGGAGAAGCGGCAAATCATGCGCGACCTGGTGAAGAGCGATCCCAAGCTGCAAGCGAACAAAGTGTTTCAGAGCATTAAGGCTCTGTAGAGCTGGAGTTTCTTATATGATCATCAGGCAATGTTTCGGGTATTTGTTTCTAGCGGACAGGAGTCACGGAAAATGGGAGTCATATTGTATGTACCTTATGTATGTTAGGGATACAATGTTATGGACATCGCTGGGCTTGGTCGAACCGACTCGTGATCTATATCGATAGTCTGCGCTGGTGCCTTTGTGGCGTCGGTCGGCTTGTAAGCTGCGTGTATCTTGATTTTAGTAGCCATATTATCTCTAAATTCCATGAGCATGCTACTATACTCACCCCACCTACCCACACTCTGGTCCATACCTGTTCCCAAAATCCAGGAACAATCAGCATGCACTCAGCAAAAGATGATACTCTGTTGACGATCTGTCATTCACATATATATGTCAAACAGAGAGGCTGCATTCTCTTGCTGATCTATTCTTGACATGAGAGATAAGAATTTGACAGCGTAACGTACCCCCAAGAAGCTTGTAAGCAAACCTGCGTTTTGTTTTTCTACCCAAATGTCGCTTATGTGTCTCACTATCAAGGTTTCCTACATTCAGAGCGATCCTTCTCGATTCCCTTAGCGAGTCAACTGAACGTGGCTTGCTCACGATCCTTCAGCGGCAACAGGCCGAGAGGAGAGCTTGCTCCCCAGGCTAGGCGTGTCTTCTTCATGTTCAAACTACTCCGTATCATGCACGGCCCTACCTCCGTAGGTTTGCCCACATTCGCCCACAGTTTACCACACATGATCATCAAGCGAAACAAGAAAATGTCTCCTACTTCAGAAAGCCCTGCCCTCCCGCAAGCAGACTCTTTTGCTTTCCGCGTGGAGTTCCCCCCTTCTCGAACAAAGCTATGGCTTTGGGAGAGGTTCGAGCTCAGCCGCTCTTCTTCAGCACCCTCCGCGCCCGCTCCGCCTCGTGCTCCAGCCGCCGGAAGTACCAGAAGAGGGCCCCATACGCCAGGTCGAAGACGAGGTACATGGCGCAGCACCAGAGCATGAAGGGCTTGCCGAGGAAGCCGAACTCGGCGGGCCAGTGGCGGGCGCGCAGGTAGAACTCCGGGACGAGGGTCAGCGAGCCGGTGAAGCGGAAGAACCACAGGCGCCAGGAGTTGCCGCGGGTGCTGCCGCGCGTCAGCAGCTGGCCGAAGTAGCCGACGCTGAGGATGACCTGGCAGACGATGGCGTTGGCGAAGCAGGCGGCCATGGGGCCCAGCTCGTCGACCAGCGTCAGGTGGGCGGGGATGGCGAAGGCGATGCCGAGGAGGTACCAGCCCGGCAGGTAGCGCTGGACCAGCGGGGCGTGCGCCCACTCGCGCGGGCCCCCGTAGCGGATGGCCGTGTAGATCGTGCCCAGGTTGGTCAGCAGGCCGACCTGGAAGGACAGCGTGATCAGCCAGTGGTCCAGCGTGAAGAAGAACCCGAAGGTGATCTCCCACGCGATGTTGAAGCAGTGCGAGATCAGCGGCATGCTGTACGACCGGTCCGTGTACGAGTGCTGGATGATCAGGTAGTAGACGTACACCCAGGTGATGTTCGTGTACGAGTGGCACAGGTAGCTGGTCCACTCCCACGCCTGGAATTCCGGCGGCGCTTGGGTGAGGTCGAAGCCATGCATGATGAATTGGTTTTGTGACTCGCCTCAATGGTCTGGTCTGGGAGGAGGGAGGTAGGTAGGTAGTGATTATTGTGGAACAGCTGTCGTAGAGTGACGGACTGAGGGAGGAGGCGGGTTCAAATATATCTAGACAGGCAGTATGGAGGATTTACTAACCTACTACTATATCAGTACAGTACTATACAGTACTGCACCAGAGATAACACATGATGGGGCAGGAGTATCAGCGCAATAAACCTACAGATATCACATTCATCCCGGATGAGCTACTCGACCTTCGACTTCTGGACCAAATGATAGCAAATAAGCATAGAGCCAGCTTGCCACGCTGACTACTGCTGATGCTGCAGCTGCAGCAGTACGATAAAGGAAGCCCTGACGGGTTATCCATGGTAGGGATTCTTCAAACAGTTTTCTTGGTGCTGCCTCGTATTGAGGAGGCCCAGAAGAGACCTCGTGATGGCTTTAGCAGAGCTGAAGCTGAGACCGATTCACAATTCTCCTACTTTTTGCTGCTGCTGCTGCTGCTGCTGCATGCACGCTCTGAAAGGCCCTAGCACGACAGTACAGCACCCATGCTGATGCGATAGTCAGCAACCAGACCGTACATGGCGTGGCAGAGATCCCATCAGTTCATACAATACTCTCACTTTCAGCCAATCACTCCCAAATGCACCATCCCAAGTCAGAAGTCTGCATGGCTAGACGCAAGAATTCGGTGGCTGCAACCCCTGCTTTTCTGACCCTCCATGCATGCAATGCAGGTCATTTACTGTATTTGCGTAACCACATACAGCAGGCATAATATCCCCAGTATCCTTGAATTTGAATTGCTCTGGAAGAGGTTCTTTCTTATCTAGAGTTGCACAACCACCCGAAGGGAGTGTGTACAGTTGCACAGCAGGCACGTGCCATGACCGTCCTATCAACCCTGCAACCCACAAGCAGGGATTCCGAATAGGTCGAAGAAGACCAGGGCATCGTCGGCACAATTTTAACTCCAACCAGGAGGAGCTTGCTATGGCGTGCAGTCACGCATTCACAGTTGTCGATGATTTGGAAATATCTGATATTTGCTTGTGGTGAGCTATTAGCTGTGTCTGGCTTTTTCGGTTGCGGAGCATATAAAGTACAGAACTTAGTGCACATATGGTTTGAATATGATTATGCCATAGCTAGAAACCAAATCCTGGCATCATAATAGGCGAATCAATCAGCAATCGCATCGAGTGTGATGCTCCCAAATTAGGGAGGGTCGCAGACAGCCAGCCTTCCTACTAGCTCGATGCAGCTTTGACCACAGGCAAGCCCGTTCAGACTCCTGCCTCATGTCAGGATCATAGGGAATGACAACTAAAAGGCTTTTCCGGCGGAAAAAGCACAGATCAGAACAGCACTAGGTAGTTTCTCTTCAATTATCCCAGTTCTAAACCACCTTTCCCATAGAACTCAACTTTCTATTCTGTTGGCTAAAATGTCTCTCCCCACTACCTTTTACATAGGTGGTACTTTGCTCTGTTGATCTGTGTTTTGTTCGTAAAAAAGGGGCCCTTCTTATTCTAACGAGTGATTACCAGCTCTGGCTCACTACGCTAATAGGCTTAGGGCAGGGCTTCTGGGTCTGGGGGTGGAAAGCTTCGAATTGCACTAGGCTGGCGAGGTAGAGCTTGGAGACTTTACGAGTCTCTATCCATAATCAGAATGCGCACTGATTTATGAGTTATTGAGACAAAAGTGTACAGAGTGTACTAAGACTGTCGAAGACGACTCAAACCGCTGTATACAATCTACAAGTCACGTGCAAGTGCGGAGGTCGAGACGCCGCGGGTCGTGCAGTACACCAATACACCCTCAATCCAAGGGACACCATTTTATCCTGGAGACAAGCTTCCAGAGACATTCATTGTTTACCATCCCATCTCAATTCCGAGGCTTGATTTTCAGCCACTTTCAGTACGGTCATCGCTCCTTACCGGCTCTTCACGTTCGCTCTTTGCTCTATTCTACGCTTCCTTACCGAACCCCCTCAGCGATGCGCGCAACCTAAAGCGAATCCTCCCGCACACCAAACGACTTGATTCATGCACCCCTTTTCCATCCTCACCCTCGGAATCTTTGTAGCGGGCTACATCACCGCGCGGTGGGATCTTGTCACCCGGCTGTACGAATTAGCCATTTTTGCATGGGATCACGGTGTGGTGGTATGGCTCCCAATGGCCCTCTTTGCTTGACCTGAACACGCGCGACTTGAAACTTCGGGTGACCGCGTTGTCACTGCCACGGAAAGATACTGTTCGCTGACTTTACTTCTCTCTCCCCCATATTCAGACACGTACGGCCAAAGGATTTCTCCTACTGTCGGTCTTTTTCTTCTTGCTCGTCCTCCCCATCAATCATCTGGCGGCGACCGAGGGTAAATTGGTATGCTATACACATCGCACAGCACAGTGTTGAATGGCAGCAATGCTTGCGACATTGCTTTGGGCCTTGAACCTGGGAAATTCAGACGCTGATCATGGGGATAATCTGTTGTATAGCACCCGCGCTACGTCCACCTAGGGGTCTCCGCTCGAGAACAATTGCGCCGTCGAGGCTCCTTCTAGAGTACCGGCCGAAGGAATGACAACATGCTCATGAGCGATGGACTGTTACGGGTATTCTGGCCATACGATCTGCCGCGATCGTCGTCGCCGGGGGTGATTGTCGGGTGGAGGAACTCGGAACTGGATTTGTTCGTGTTGACTGTGTTGGAGGGTGTTGAGGTAATGCTCTCTTCTGTTTGTGGTTGTCTGGGTTGTGGTCGTCTTGCACATGTGAGGAGGAGCCAGTCAACGCTGACATCTTGCTTTCCCTCCCTGCCAGCCACGGAACGTCGACAATGCTCTTCGCGCAGGCATCCTCTTTCGCAACAGCCCGCACCCTATTGTGCGCATATTCACATTGTGTGGGCGATCTGCGATGCATGTTCTAGGCTCGACCAACTCCCCAGACCCGCCCAGTGCATTCAATCCGTCGCATCTCTATGTCACTACGACTCCGGCTTGTAAGGTGCCACGGATTTGGTGCCCACCGGAGACGAATCTCTCGGTGCAGGTCATCATGTTTCACCGGCCGCATCCGACTCGGATGGAGTACATGTCGCTGGATCCGATCTCGTTGGCGCTCGGAGATAAAGTGGTTGCGGCCGATCAACCCGATGCGGTGTCCAGTCAAATTGACACCGAGGAGGAACATGATAAGGGAAAAGGCGGAAAGTTGGTGGAAAAGCTCAAGCTTCATACCGTCGTGAAGCATGTTCCGTCTTCGAAGGAGCAAGCATTGCCCCTCATCATCAATCAAGTCAATTGCGCCTACGAGATGGGCAAGCTTATGGAGAAAAACAGCCATCTGATTGGAATTCGGGTCAAGAGAAGCATGAGTGTGGGGGAGCGGGTCGTGGAGTCTGCAACTACCCTGTGGGACTTGTTCGTTCTCGGCGTTTCCTACGTCTTCTGGCAGTGGATATGGCCTGTGATCACCCGGATATTCGTCGTCGGGCTTGTGTTTCACCGTACCATCGCAGAAATCGTCCTGCAGATCCTGGAGTGGCGCGCTCGTCCCGACGCTGCTGCGCTCAAGGACATCTCTGCTACCGCTCAGCAGGTTGACATCCGCCTTCAACAGTTCTGTTACTGGCCCATTCAATATGTGAAGCTGCGACAAAGGAAAGACAACTGGGAGAGTGTGACGACTAGTCATCCGGACTATATTCGATTCTACAACAGCCTGTGGCTTGTGGCTAATGATGTGATCATAGGGATCGCGTTAGGGTCATACATCATAGACAACGCCAACTGGGTCGCCTTCCAGATCAACTCCATCTTGACAGGCTGGACAGTGGAGGGGCTGCAACGTACCATATCCTGGTTGATGGACTGGCCGGCTGGCTTGAAATTGAACAATGAGCTCGCCGCATTCCTTGGAGATCTCTTTCTATGGGTGATAGAGAATTGGGCAGGTTGGTTTGAATCTTCTCTCGTTCTCAGGACAGACTAGTAATACTGTTATGATGTTTTAGCTTGCATTGCCAACCTGCAACCCTATCTTCCGCACGTGATCTACGTGGTGGGATGTTCAAGCTTCGCCGGGGCAAGCATGCCGATTGCCCTGTTTTCCGACCTGGTGTCTATCCTGACTGTCCACATCTACTCATTCTACATTGCGTCGGCGCGGATATTCAACTGGCAACTGACCATCATCATCTCGCTTTTCCACCTCTTCCGCGGCAAGAAGCGAAATGTGCTTCGCAACCGTATTGACTCGTGCGATTATGATCTCGATCAGCTGTTGCTGGGAACCATACTGTTCACTGTCCTTTTCTTCCTCCTGCCGACTGTGATTGTCTTTTACCTTGCCTTCGCAAGTGCGCGAATGTTAATCATCTCACTAAAAGCAGCGCTTGACACCTGCCTAGCCTTCTTGAATCACTTCCCGCTCTTTGCATTGATGCTGCGAGTCAAAGACTCGCGGCGATTACCTGGTACGTATGCCCCCAGAATAATGTTTTGAGGCTAAATCACTAATGGAGTGTGGCCAAACCAGGCGGGATTCGCTTCGAACTCCGGCAAGAGCACGACAAGTCTCCTGCAACCGGCAAGTCCACCACTAGCGTACCGTATATCCACTTCGAGTCCATCCCGCTCGCGTTGCGTGCCATGTTCGACCAGTACTTCCAGCTGGGCCATCGTCTCCGGAAACACTATCTCGCCCCGCGGGTCATCTTCTGCCTCGTCACCGGCCGCTTCGTGCCTCCTATCCACCGTCGCAACCTTTACGGCATGCAGTACAGCATGCTCCCTGCGCGCCGGGCTACTATGATGGAGGTGTGGTCCATGTTGACACAGCCCCGCAAGACCAGTAGCGGAGGCAGCAGCTCCTCATCGATGGGTGGCGGGATTGGCACAGCGGCGAATGGGATCCTGAAGGTTCCGGGGACATTCGGACAAGGGGATCTGCGGAGAAGAGGTCATCGATGATGCCATGAAGTTTGTATGCTAAGAACATACAGGGATGAAGTACATAATATATGGACGATTTGAGCTATCTGGTGGGTTGAGAGTCGATGCAATGAATGATGGTATAGGTATATAATACATAATGCATGTTTCCAAGAACATCGTATCGCACATGATAGTAAAATCATAACATATAGTACAAGTAGACAGCACAGCTCTAATCTTTTGATCAAAGAGAGAAGAGGAAACCAAGCAAAGCCCCTACTAGATCATGCCATATATAGCAGTCGGGGGGGAGACGGGATGAGACGAGACGAGATGGTGTGAGTGGGTTATGATGAGCTTTCTGAAGGGGTCCGGAGTGGGTTTGACTCTCCCTACCCCCTTGCCCTATGCATATCCTGAAGAATCAACACTCCAAAATACTTTTCTCATTACCCCTCCTTAACCACGAGGGTAGAGAGATCGGAATTAGCTGTTTCCCCCGAGAAGAGAGATAAAGAGATCATTGGATCGACGGAATCAAAGAAGAATAAGGAACGGAGTCGAACGAGAAGACCTCAACCTCGTCGAAGCGTCTCGGCGTCGAATTCCTTGGCCGTGCTCTTCCGGGCATCTTCGAGCATGGAATCGATACCCTTTTCTTTGAGGACGACCTGTTGAGATGTTAGAGGGAGTCACTCGAGAAAGCAGAAAGGGGGCTGTCTGTGACAATGATCGAGAAGCATGGAAGAAAGCACATACATTCAAGCACGTCTTGTACTTGGTGAAGAGTTCCTCGCAGTCGTTGGAGGTGGTGTTGCCACGGAGATATTCTGGGGTTCATGGGTTAGTTTGTACTGGTCACTGGGCTCTAGAGCGTGAAGGACGTGGGGAGAAGAGGGCTGGCAAACGGCAACTTACTCTCACTGTACCACTTGAGGAAGCAGGTGTCGTATTTCCTGTTTGGGGTGGGTTAGTTGGGTTTTCTGATATACACACGATGGGTGGGTGGCTTACTCTTTGATCTCGTTGCATTCGGGGGCGATTGAGGCGGCCATGTTGGAATGTGCGGAAGAATATGTCCCCCAGACGATCTGATGGTGGATACTGAGATGAAACTGATTCCAAAGTAAAGGATATAGAGCTATGTATGTGATTTGATATGCTGGTTTGGGAGGCAAATCGTGGTAGTTCTAGTTGAGATCCTCTCTATCATGAAATTACGTAATCCACATTGAGGGTCGGAGGCTTGATTGATGTTTACCGCACTCGGTAGGCGGTCAAACGTACCCCGGCGTTTCTCCACCTCCGAATCCGCCGGCGCCATTTTTTTCCTTTGTCGCGCGGGACAAGAAATTTGAACTGCAAGCAAGCAAGCATTCGCCCGAGATTTGTAAGAGAGAGAAGACCACATCGGGCTTTTCTTTCTGTCCTGGTGTCTGGGCTGCCTGAATTTGATTTTTGAAGAAACCATGAACTCCGCTGCAGATTTCCCTCCGTTCCAGCAACGGCTGACCTCCTCGTTGGTCCAAGTGACGCGCACTGTTGGCCAGCTTTCCGCCGAAGATGTCGACTTCCACCGATCCTCGAACGCGGAGGTTTCGGACTCGTTGGACGAGCAGAGCAGCCGGCTCCTCTCCTTGACCTCGACGCTGCTGAAGGCCGCCACTGCGGGCACGGATGTGTCGGCGCCGACGCTGGAGGATGACGACTCCCTCGAAGACAACTGGCGCGGCGTCGTGGATGTGATCGATGCGCTGCTGGAGCGGGCGGATGCCTGCCTGGACGAGTTCACCGGCGTGATCAAAAAACTGAGCCCCTCGCAGCAGGACCAGGCCGCCGCCGCCGCCGCCAAGGCCGCGAAGACCAAGGCCGCCGCCGCCCGATTCCCGACCGTCTACGACTATGGCCCGTCGAAGATCCCCAAGCCCCAGCTGCTGTTCGAGCACCTGCCCGACAACACCGACACGTCGCCGTTCAAGCCGCTGCTGAAGTCCAAGCCCCACGCGACGGTGCCGTTGGAGCAGTCGCTGAAGCGGAGCGAGACGGCAACGGGCTATGTGCACCCGTACGAGACGGAGATCCGCGCGGCCAAATTCCCGCCTTCGACGTACACCGTGTCGCCGCCGCAGGAGTATCAGCCGTGGGAGTTGACGACGGCGACCTTCGTGGATACCCTGGAAGGCGTGCAGGAGATGCTGGAGGAGCTGAAGGGGGCCAAGGAGATCGCGATCGACTTGGAACATCACGATGTGCACTCGTATCAGGGTCTGGTCTCGTTGATGCAGATCAGCACCCGGGACAAGGATTGGGTGGTCGATACGTTGAAGCCGTGGAGAGAGGAGCTCCAGGTGTTGAACGAGGTCTTTGCCGACCCCGGGATTCTCAAGGTCCTGCACGGTTCGTCCATGGATATGATCTGGCTTCAGCGCGATCTGGGGCTGTATGTCGTCAACATGTTCGATACGTATCACGCCGCCTGCGCGCTGAACTACCCGAAGCGTAGTCTGAAGTTCTTGCTGCAGAAATTCGTCAACTTCGAGGCCGACAAGAAATATCAGATGGCCGACTGGCGCATTCGTCCCATCCCGGAAGGCATGTTCGATTACGCCCGCTCGGATACCCACTACCTGCTCTACGTGTATGACCACATCCGCAACGAGCTCGTCGAGAACTCTACGCCTGATAACAACCTGGTCGACTACGTCCTGGAGCAGTCCAAGAAGGAAGCCCTGCAGATCTACGAGCGTCCGGTCTACGACGCTGCAACCGGACAGGGACCTGGCGGCTGGTACGATGTCCTGTCTCGCAACCAGATCGTCATCAACAAGGAGCAGTTCGCCGTCTTTAAGGCGGTGCACCAGTGGCGCGACCAGGTGGCGAGAGAGGAGGATGAAGGTGTGCAGTGTGTGTTCCCGAAGCACGTGCTCTTCAGGGTGGCTCAGGCCATGCCGACGGACCTGGGCACTCTGTACCGAACCCTGTCGCCTATGACGCCGATCGTCAAGGACCGAACCGATGATCTGCTGGAAATCATCAAAGCGGCGAAGATCGAGGGTGCCGACGGACCGGAGTGGCGCGATGTCTACGTGAAGCCAACCAAGAGCACGCCGGCAGCCTCCGCTGAAGGGGTGGCGGGATTCTTGCCTGAGCCCACCGCAGACGACACAGACCTCCCCACGGCGGTCCGTTACGAGATCTCGCAATTCTGGGGCGGTGTGCTCGACACGCAGTCCCCACTCCCATCTCCCAAGATCTCCGCGATTGCTTCCGCCGAAGCTCTTCGTCTTTCCTTACCCCTCCCACCCATGCCCAGAACGGTCTCCGAAGCTCGCGAGAAGTTCGGAGTATCCGCGCCCGCCGCCCCCGCGAAACCCGCCGCGACCTCGGCTCCACCGGCGGCAGCGAAGCAGGAACCCGAGGCGAGCGAACCCGAGAACAAGTACTTCACCATCAAGGAGAAGGGTGGCCCGCGCAAGCGCAAGGTAACCCCTGTCGTGGAGCCGCAGTCCGAAGTGGAGGGCACCAAGACCGACGAGGTCGTCAGCTCCGCGGCGGATCTGGACCAGGACCTGAACGACAAGCCCACGAAGAAGCAGCGCCGCAAGGAGAAGAAGAACAAGGCGGCTGCTGCTCCTGCCGCCCAGACCGCGCAGGCTCAGCAGCAAGAAGAAGCGCCGTTCGACTACGAGGCGGCGGCTTCGATGTTGAATGCCAACCCCGCCGAGCAGGCCTCCAGACCCTCGAGACGGAAGCAATTCAACCCGTACGCCAAGGCATTGGAGGCCCCCTCCGGCGTCCGCAAGCAGAAGCGCGAGATGGCCGGCCGAACCGCCACATTCCGGTGATTTGTCGTCTTAGTCAGGCTTTATGTTTTCCTTTGGGAGCTGGTACATGCGAGGAGGAAGGGAGGGGGAAAAAGTTGGAAAATATGTGTTGTTGAGGCGGGGGTGTTTTACTAGAATTCAATTGTATGCATAGCGATACCCGGGTTATATTTTTGCAGATGAAATGCAGAGCATTATCTTTGTCATTGGTTTTTAGGTCTGTGAGATGGAGGTAGGTCTATATACGTAGTATCAGTAGTGGAAGGTATAACCACCAACCCATTTTTTTGCTTTTTTCTTCTTTTGGACATAAGTGGTCGACTCAGAATGTCCGACTCCAACTCTTATTACCCCCCTTATGAAAGAAGATTCAAGCAGTGGTGGACAAAACCTTGCGCCTCTGCTTGACCATATACTTGTACATCATCACCGATCCTGCACCGAAGGACATTAGCCACCCCGCTTTCCCCTCTTGCCACCCACCAAGTCACCCCAAAGGGACGGAAGGAAGGAAGGAAGGAAACTCACCAGGCGCATACAGCCCCAAAAAGAAGACAAAGATCCCCTTCACCGCGACGCTGTCCGTCACCCGGGTCGCCTGGAACATCAACCACCATTCACTGGCGATCCCGATGGGGTAGAGACCCAGGAACAGCGAGTATCTAGCCCGCCCCGTTAGCCCGTAGCCATCTAGTCGGTCCCCCTTCCCCCCCCGAGAGGGACAACAAAACAGACCCCGGGGGACATGAGCGAAGGGACCGGGATAGGAGAACCATACCGCAACCACCGCAACCACCGCGGCACCGCCGCCGCGCCCGCCACACTCAGCACGGCGAAATACGTATACCGGATCGCGTCCGCGGAGGCCCACGCCAGCAGCATGGCCGGGTAGACGGCCGTCGTCCTCGTGGTGACCGGAAAGGCGTAGTTGATGGCCCAGACCTGGACGCTGCGGGCGAAGATCTGCGTGAAGGTTGTGAAGACGGGGGAGCGGGTGAGGCCTTTTTTGGAGGGAGTTAGTTTTCTTTTTTGGGGGGGGGGGGAGAGGGCTGGCTGGCTGGCTGGCTATGGGACCCTACCCAGGGCGGAATGTAGGATCTCCAGGCTGGCGAGGGTTTGAGTCCATCTTGTCCAGGGTTCGAGGGTGGTGTAGAGGGTTTCCGGGGAGGAGGGGACAGGGGAGGCGAGGATGATGGAGGTGAGTAAGGTGAGGAGGATGCGGGTCCAGAGGAGGGCGTTGGTGGTGTTGTAGAGTAGGAGGTAGGAGGTTTTCAGGGTCATTTTGGGTCTGGGTTGGTTGATTGGGTGGATTGGGTTGTTGGGTGAGGTTATGGTGTGTTTTGAGGGGGGAGTGTGAAGGTGCAGTGGGATTTGGAGATGAGGTTTTATTTTGTATGGGGGTTGGGGTGGTTTTTTAGTGGGGATGATGGAGTGTTGTGGGTTTGCATGTGATTCGGGTCTTTTTTTGGGGAGGTTGTGTTTGTATGAGCGGAAGAGGAGGATTATATGCCGAATGGAAGGAACAAAGTTAGAGAGATGTCGAGCTAGAGGCTTGTGTATAAGCTGTTTCTGTGTTTCTGTATAGATCAAGGTGTTTTTGATATCATCTTCTGACTCTGAAGTTTAAGTTTCTGAGCTACAGTTTATGCTTCGGTTGGTTTCCACTACGGTGGAATTGTCCTGTCTGCGATACTGCAATCTACATAATGTGGTCGACTGACATCGATGGCACATACCAATGAAGAAAGGAAACCCGCATCCAAGGCCCCCCAGCAGGTCCACAAATGCTGCAGAAGCCGCCATGCGCAACGCGCAATGCGCAATGCGAAAGGAAGCGAACCTTGAATAACCCCCGCTCGGTAATTGACTTCCGCAGGTGAACCACGTGTTGACTGACGCTTCGGTAAGCCCGGCCCGTCACCGCCCCCGTACTATCTCCCGTCTGCATTAGGTCTAGTGGTCCGGCTTGCTGCCGCCTGAGGTATACATGGTTATCGGCGTGTCTTGTGTTCTTTGGCTGTTCTTTGGCTGTTCTTTGGCGAGATGGGCTTTCAAGTGGTGTGAAGAGATGCTGCTGTGTGTAGTGAGACATGCGCTCTGAATCGTCAGGTACAGGCTTGAGTCTGACACCGCTGTTTCACTCTACATGTACTGTACTGTACAGATTGGAATGAGATTCGGAGTATGTGCATCTTGCTGCTCGGATGTGGGGAGGAAGTCATGGAGACTTATGTCCGTGTATCTTTCTGAGTATGAAGGCAAGTTGGTGTGCTAGAGTCGACAAATCCCATAGGTTTGCTATAACAAGATCAAGTGGATCTGACCAATGCAAAAACTAATCCTGAGCTTGTTTGAGCACCTCGCTCCAGAGTCATGCACCTCACTACATACATAGTAGTATGGGTACCCCGCTAGCTACACAGAACCTCTGATGATAGACATCCTGAGTGAAGAGAGAAGCAATGCCACTGGCGATCGAAAAGATCTTACGCGTCGACTGCTGGCTGTACACCTACGTGTCTTGAGAAGATAGATCATCTGATCAGCACTCGGCGCACTCAATCGAAATCTTGTTTTCCTCGAGGTATGATGTCAACTCAACCTCGCTTATCACGGAGGAGCAGGACTCCCAGATGCATGATTCACGTCATCAACGATGTGAGAAACCAGGGTGTCCATTGTCCCTGGCGTGTTGGTAAGCAAGCCCTTCCTGATCGGTAGGCATCCGATCTATCGGCATGATCGCCAGAATTCAATAGTGACCCTGGACAAAAGCAACAAACAATACAAGCGGTCCGAGCTCACGCTTTTTTTTTTTGTTTGCTACTAAAATGTCGTCGCATGGTGGAGGTGGTGGAGGGACACTAGAAAAGTCAATTGGGTCGCACACATGCATGCACTCCTGCACTCCTGCACACCCTGCAATGGCACTAGCAGCTGCAGCTGGCGCTTGTTGTGTTGCGGTGGTTTTCTGAGAGTAATAGAGTTTCTTTGGTGCTGATGGCGGGGTTCGTCCGGTTGTACTCGGTATTATGGTCGGCATGTCACTGTCTGATCCCGGGGAATATTGGGTTGGTTGAGTTAGTGTCTAGATGTGAGGAGGCTGGGTGTGATTGATAGGGACAACCAAGCCTGTGTCGTTTATACACAAACAAATACGCTAAATGCTATGTCACCAGACGAATAGAGATGTAGAGGTCAGCTTCTTATTCAATGTTCTAGCCACTGTTCATGATGGGCTGGAGTAGGGGGCGAAATCTGTCAGGTTTGTGCTAAAACAAGTAAGTCTAGACCGGCAATCAATCCGAGTAAGAATAGGTGAGTAGGTATGCAGGTAACCCGCCATCGTGGATTGATTGCTACGGTGCAGCAGGAGGCGGGTGTTCCTTGCCCCAAGCCAGTCTCCAGGTCGACCCATCAATCACTAGATCTAAATTTAAGTTTGAGGACATCCACAGATAGGGTTAACCCGAGTGAGTGCCACGACTGTAGGTGCTAGCCGCCTATATCAGCACTCAATATAGACTCCATTGTTTGGTTAGTGGCTGGAGTCATGATGTAATGGCTAGTCGTCAGAGTACAGGACCATATGCCTGTATTCATCTAGGACAGACCTTGCAGGTTCAAGTACAACGGAAGAGAGATCGTGAGTTCGTGGCGACGTGATACGTGTGTAGTCAAGAATAGAATAAGATGTGAAACGGTGAAGCATTTGCTTCTAACTTTAGTGCCTTAGGCTGCCCACAGCAGAGCGTAGAAGTACGAGTAAATTAAGAACAGGCGGCAATGCACACACGCTACAGCACCGTAGCCAGTTGGTGGCACCAATCCGAGACAGGCCCTGACTCGGGGGGTTTTTAGGTTGACGCAGGTACCAACCAGCCTTGGGTCCCCCCCCCGATCTGATCAGGCGGAACTTTTAGTCGACGCGCTAAACTCCTTGAGGGGAAGACGAAAAGTGGCCCCGGTGGTCACGGGTCACACCCGGAGTCGACAGTGGCACTTGCTGCTGCAGCTGCTGCGTGAACAATTCAGGGGAAATGAAAAGCGAGAACCCCCACTGGTCTGGTCTGGTCTGGTCTGGTCCCGGGGTTTCAGGTCGTGGCTATTCTTACCTACATATTTCCAAAATTGTCTATACATACACACGTACACACATGCTTCTATACAAGTATAACCTGGAGAGTTGGAGCTTAGCGTGGCATTCACTATCTGCATGCGCATCTTACTGAGTAGGTCCCGATCGGTGGTCAGTAGGTCTTCGGTTGCAAAGACCACAAATGGCACAAAGGATGAACTAGAACGGTGGGCCTATCTGCTGTACTAACTCTGTACCACACTTCGGCCTTGCCCCTCTTTCTACTTCTACTGAGTACTTAGTCAAATCATCTGCATCCTGTGATTCAGATTGGTTAAGAATTCATAAAGCTTCGGGATCAATTGCAGCCCAAACGTGATCATCTTGGAGATTTGTCATGTCCTGCAACTGTGCGGTTCGTTCGCTGGCGGGGGACAATCGATGCAACTACGTTATGATCCATGTCTCGTATCTGAGACTCAAAAGTTGGGCTTCTTTTCTCCGGGATTGTTGCGTCAATGGTGGGAATCATCTACGATGTGAATCATGAAGTAATCTCTTGTGCACTTAAGAGTCAATTACTCACTTATGAGTATTCCATCCCCTCAGTTGTGCCTCCATTGCCCCGGTATTTCCGACCGACCGAGCCGTGGGCAAAGTGGCAAGTGGCAACATCCTCCGCTCAGGTACCGAACTCCTGATGGCACGACCCACGGGATCATGAATAGGATGGGCGCATTGGGCCAGGGGTAAAGAGTTGGGGAAAAGCGAACCCGGATAAAAGTGTTTAGTCTCGTGCTAAGGTTCTACGGAGTAATCAAGGTGTGGATATCAACTCATCTAGTCCCGACGCAATGTCTTTGCTAGTCGCTTAGGGTCGTTCTTAGCAGACTCATCCCGGATTAGCTCGTTCTTTCTGGCTTAACAGGTTCTCTTATTCTCCCCCCTTGCGTCGTCCTGCATGTCGACCGTCTGGCTCTCTGCACTACCGGTCGAATCACGACCCCCCAGGAGATGATCATCCGACTATCATCATTGGTGCAACGAACCCCGGAAAGGGACGGACTGTCGCAAGCATGGATTGGCATCAAGATGACGGGTGAGCGGTACAATCCATAGGTATGGAGTACAGTACGGAGTCCTTCCTGTACATGCCATGATCACCTCTCTCTCCCGGACAGGATCCGCGCCGTCCCCTACCTGCCAGGTGGTACTCGCCCTCTCCCTGAAGAGATGCGGGAGTCTGGTGGGAGTTCACTGGTGGGTTGCCGACCACCCATAGATTATTATTATTGTAAGCATTCTGAAGAGATTAAAGGCAACTTGGAATCCTAAACCTCAATCAGGAGGGCCAAAAACGAATGACAAACCACTTAGTCTGGCGCCGTTGATGGTCTGCCATTATATCCAAAACAGTTAGCCATGGAACCCATAGATAATGTCTGAAGGTCTGTCCACGGGAAGTTATGACCCGATGACGATCAATTCGGTCAATCTCCATTGTCCTCCGTTTACAGTGAATAAGTGCAAGTACGGAAGTGAGTAAATGCTAAGAGAAATCCCGATATTTTCTGGCGAATGTGAGATGGCCGCGGTGGTGATGGTGGTGGTGGTGGTGGCGGCGGAAGGAGGGGGACCGTTCAGGAACAGGGCATGGTTCGTTTTGATTACAGAGTGGAGAGCGCTGGAGCAACCGCCAGTTCAATCAATCTGTGGGTATGGGCCTAACTACATACTGCAAGTTTAGTTAAAGTACGGAGTACTGTCCAGTACATACATTATACCTACCGTTGAGATTTGAGACAATCCAACGTACCACCGCATGCACCGTCCCCTCTTTCTCGGCCTATCTCTGCCGACCAGCATGGGAAATGAATGCTATATGCAGTGTAGGGAGAAGAAGAAAAGGCAGAGGGGAGGGTAGCTTATGCATGCCGGTGCCTGGGGAGCACCAAGCACCAAGCACCAAGCACCAAGCACCAAGCACCAAGCACCACCGACTGTACCACACCCTTTTTATTTCACCGTCCAACCAGGCCAGTCAACGAGTCAACCGCGTTGCGTACCTGCTTGGCCCTTGTTGTTCAACCCGTCCGCCCACTGTTGCTTTTGCTGCAAGTCACACGGAGACCAACTCCACCACCCTTTTTCTTTTTCTTTTTTTCTTTTTTCTTTTCTTTTTTTTTTATCTTTTCCTCCTCCCCTTCCTTCCCCCTCCCTCCAAATCTCTACTCATAGTACTATCATTTCATTTTTAATCCCCATTTTTATTTTTGTTTGTATT